CTGGAGACAGAAAAAAAAGCTCAGGAAATGTCAGAACCAAACCACAGCTTTTCCTCGAGTTCAGCACAGACAACCCCTCAGGGCTGTTTTCTCCTTTTCAAACCTGACCTCCGTTTCCAAAGGCATCAGAGTTCGGAAGGAATAATCTCCCTCCCCCTGGATCCACACAAGGCAGAAGCCCCCTCTCGCGTCCGCCAGTCAGCGAACAAGATCCCCCCTGCGGCGATCCACCCGGCCCCTACTGACGTGAAGAGATCATTTGTTGGGGCTCCTTTGTTTACATACGGCCAAGAGCTTCCCCCCCCCCCCGCTCCAAGTACATTTCTACCTTGGCAAATCCAAGGATTTATTCAAGGGCGCCCTGCCGTAACTCTCCCTGAGGCTCGCACTTCGCTCTCGGCGTACCACACACGCACCCAGCGAGCCGCAATCAAGCCGCTCCATCCATTCACAGGATCTTAAAGAGACACGCTCCGATTTTTTTTTCCTCGAGACAATGGGACAGCTGCTTCTTCCCGAAACAAATGAGCCAAAAGATACCTGCCGGTCCCGTCCCCCCCGGTTTTGCAAAGGCGACCCGAACTCGGCAAGGAACAGCCGCCACTTTTCCCAGCCTAGCTGAATGAAAACAAAGCGCCGCGATTCCGGACGCGCTTTCCGTCTGCTCCCCCCCCCCACCGCTTTCCCCTGCCTCCTTGGGAAACTGTGCTGGGGGAGGGGGAATGGCCATCAAGGGGATGCTGACCATACACTCCCCGTCAAAGAGAGGAGCAGCCCCGGCTTTCAGTCTGCAGAGAGCGCACGGACCCCGCCTTCGCAGGAGCGGGTTTTAGATTTGCACCCGTGTTCCTGATGGGGGTCTAGGGGAGAGGAGGGCGAGCCCCTCGTTCTTACCCGCGCGCCTTCCCTCCCCACTCCCTCCTCTGCTTAGGCGCAGCCTAGACCTTCATCTCCGAGTAGGGAAGCCACGTTCAAAGGGATTAGAGGGCTGGAGCTAATCGGCAAGAAGCAGCGCTTCTCCCCCTCCCTTCCCCGCAAGGCTCGCCAGCAAAGAGACCTCGAGCAAGCCAGGAGAGCAGCCGGCGAAGAGCGTCCTCCCTTCCCCGCTTCTCCCCTCGCTGCCTCTAGAGGTGAGGGGCGAAAAGCCCCATCATTCCCAGCCGCCAGGGCGAGGCTACCTGCCCTGCTTCTCCCGCACACGCCCCTCTGGCGCCGGGTCCCGCGCCGCCCCGCCCCGCCCCGCCGGCAGCCTCTGCCCCCCTCTCTCGACAGGGGCTCTACCTGTGGAGGAGCGAAGCAGCGCTGCTCTTGTCGCCGGCGCAGCAGCTGAGGGGCCCCTCCGCTCCCGCAGCGCCATCCCCTGCCCGCCTGCTCGCTCTCCGGCTTCCAACTGCTCAAATCGAATCTGTCCGGCCTCCCCTCCCTGCAGCCGCTTCTCGAGCAGTGACGTCATAGCGCTGGCAGCCCAATGGGCGGAGGCAACGTCAGCAGGCTAGCCCAGGCATCCTCCATTCAAAAGCGGAATGCTCGCTCCAGCCCTTCCCGGGGTCTCAGAGCCGAAGGCAGGCGAGGCGAGGCGAGGCGAGGCGAGGCGGGGC